TTAAAATGACAGGAAGTAAACAGTGCTTGGAAACACCCAGCATGTGCCCCTAAGCCCCGCTAGGCCTGCGCACTCACCACCACCACCACCACCACCACCACCCACTCTCCCCCAGCTTGGCATGGTGGGCCCTGTCTCCATGGCAACTGGACTGAGCCGCAGAGATCAAAGCAGGAGATGTGTTGGCTCCAAACCAGCAGAACCTGGGGCATGTGAAGGGATTTCTGGAAAGTGCCTGCAGGGGTGGGGCCCCTGGGTGTCTTCCCCCACCACTGCCAATCCTTCCTCTCTGGCTGCAGGACTCCTTGCCTGGGGGTCAAAGCAGAACTGGTGTCCTCTGACAAACCCCTTGGGCTAGGGACCTTTTGGACCTGCCAAAGCATACGGAGCAGTACTGAGTCCTGGTTACAGACGTAGGTTCTGGAATTGCACTTCTGAGGCTACCAGTACTCGTCTGCTGTGCAATTGATGTGGGATCCTGAGTAAGTCCCTAACCTCTCCAAGCCTTGATTTTATCACCTGAGAAACGGGCATAATAACAGTGATTTTTTTTTCTCTTAGGGTTTTTGTGAAGAGTAAATGAGGCAATGAATGCAAAGTGCTTAGTATAGTGCCTCACACATGGTAATTGCCAGAAAGATGTTACCTGTTACGAATAGTGTTTTTACTGTGCTCTAGGGGCTAGGCACAGACAGGTGAATTTCACATGGTCTCTGCCCTCAAGACACTGACCATCTAAACAGCACAGAAGCACCAACATTGCTCTTGTCACTGGGGGAATAAACTTCTACCAGGCGCCTTTGGCCTGAAGGAAAACTGGATACGGGGCAGGCTAGGGAAGCTGACAACTGAGCAGGGTTTAAATGGTGACTAGAAGGGGCCCTGGGCTGGATGCAGACGCACGCTCCACACAGGGAAGGAGGCTGCGCCCAGGTCCGGGGGCGGGGCTGCAGCAGCCCCGGGAGGGACACGTGCCTGGGAAGGACACTTTCTTCTGTAGGTGACAGGGAACCAGTGAGGGTTTCAAAATAGATTTATGATGGTTTTCCCCTTCATTAAAAAAGTAAAACATAGCCCTGGCTGGTGTGGCTCAGTGCGTTGAGTGCTGATCTGTGAACCAAAGGGTCTCTGGTTTGATTCCCAGTCAGGGCACATGTCTGGGTTGCAGGCCAGGTCCCCAGTAGGGGGCGCGTGAGAGGCAACCACACGTTGATGTTTCTCTCCCTCTCTCCTGGACTCGGAAGTAGGAGGCCGGGGTCCAGCGAGTCAGCCCGTTCCTCGGGCAGTGACCCTCAGAGGGAGGGAATCACTGCTCTTTTTCACCCCTGAGGCCCCGCATGAGAGGTGAAGATCCCGGAGAAGAAGGGCCTCAGACAGAAGATGAGGAGCTGGAAGGCCCTTAGACCTGCAGCAGGGGGCGCACTCAGCCGCCTGCTGGGGCCCAGCGGGAGCTCCCCAGGGCCGCCCCGCCCCATGAGACTGCAAAGGGCTCAGCTGGCACTCGGGGAGTGGGTGGTTTAAAAAGCTCTTTGGGCAAGTCTCACGTTCAGGTACCCACAGGGCACAGAGGAGGTCTCTTAGCTCGGGGAGGGTGACCTGATGAGGTCATACAGTGAGCCAGGTTTAGAGCATACTCTGGGTTCAACATCCCCTGCCCCCTTTTCAGTGCAAGACTGTTCCTCTCCCAGTGAGAGACCCCCCTGCCTTTAAGGTGGGTGTGGCATAGTCCCATTGGGTCCAGCCGGAGAGTCCCGCCTCACTCTCTCATCTGTCTGGTCACCCTTGGCCAGTTGCTCTGCCTCTCTGAGCCTCGGTGTTCTTATTTCTTTATGGGGCTGATTCTAATGGTCCTGCCTGCTTAACAGGGCTGTGAGGGTAAAGGAAGACAGGCACATACCGTAAAAACATTTGGAGAGGACTTCATTGAAAAACACTGCACTTTTCCCACGGGCCGGCCCTGTGCTGTGCACAGGTGGCCTGGGCTGGTCCAACTGAGCAGGTGAGCTAACCAGGGAAATAGACACACTTGTCCTTTGCCAAGAACTTTGGCCTTCGGCCTGTGACCCATCTCCCTTCTGGCCTGGCCCTAGCCATACAACCAATACCCCTTTCTCAGGGAAAAACACCATCTACCCGCCAGTAGCAGAACCAGGACAGAACTGGACCTCCTTCTCCTGGGAAGACCATTTCTCACAACTGCTAATGAGCCCACTGGGTGCCACGAATAGACACTGCACCTGAAAGGCACAGCTCACACTTGCTAGCAAACGCCTCTTTTTCAGCGTATGGATGGGCTGGCCCACATCCGACCTCAGGGGCCCTGCGTGTATCCCTGGGCTCTGCGCCCATGGCGCCCACAGGACATCCACATGCCCCTTCCCTGCAGACCCCCGGGGAGACTCTCCTCACATCCCGAGGGTCTCTGCTCCCCCAGGGTGGGCTGTCTCTTCTCCACGTCAGGGGCTCCTGTTGTGGCCTCTTCCTGCCCGCTCTGATTCCCCACCGTTTCCTCTGCCTGGAGAAGTTCGTGGTCTCTTCTGCTGTGACAGCTGATGTTTGTTGAGTGCTTTTTGGACAAAAAGCACTTCACAGACGCCATCCTCTCTAATCACTAAGTAATCCCAGAAGATGGGTGCTGAGCTCCTGAGTCACGGCGTGTGCCCAGCGTGAGCTGGCGAGGGCAGCGGTGGGACTGTGTGACTCCGGGGCCCCTGTCCTCATCCCTCTCTGGTCCACTGCTCCCAGTCTCCTGGGAGAGAGGGTCCTGCGATCCAGGATCACCCGGCCTCCCTCCACCCTCCCGACTAGAGTTGGTAGAGAGCTGAGCTGGAGCAGGTGGGGGACAGCGCTTGTGTACAGAAGGGGCTCAGGCCCTGCAGCATGAATAGGGGAGGGGTTCAGGGTTCGGGGTGGGTGGCAATAGCTCCCTACCAGAGCTCTAACAAAGGAGCTGAATGGTGAAATCTTCTTTCTCAAAACTCCCTCTTCTCCCATCCTACTTTCCCTTGAATTTCTAATCAGAAATTCTTGATCTTGACCTTCAAGAACCCACTTTGTACTGAGTCCCAAAGGCTCCTGCTCACAGGCTGGTTGGAGGTTAAGGAGGGAGGGTGGGGTGAGAGTGCGGGGTGAGCGGGCATGGAGGCCCTTGGCCGACCCACAGGCCCCCGCCCTACTCCAGTGCAGGTGCAGGGTTGGTGGGCTAGGCGTACAGATCTTGTTGACTGGAGACAGGTGACGCACACCAGCCACTTTGCCTGTCCTCTCCATGCCCACCCCTGCCCAGGGAATGACGGAGCCGCCAGGAAGACCCCAACTTGGAGGAGGCCAAGTGCCTCATCCACTTGACCACTCTCAGCCTCCGTTTCTTGTCTGGGGTGGAGTGGACGCCAGGAGAGGGACCCTCTATCCTCAGGAGTTTCTGCAAAAGAAGGGCTAGGGGGACCTGCGCCTCAGTTCTGTGCCCTCTGGTCTCCTTAGAAGCTTCCTTGGGGGCTGAAGAGGGCCCAGGCCGTGCCCTGTGGAGCTGGGTAGGCACCTGAGCCCGGAGCTGGGGCTGTTCTCTTTGGTGCCCAGGGATTCGGCCAGGCCGGGTTCTCCAGAGGTCCCTTCTGAGGCTTTCCTCCTGCGGGCTCCTGGGCTCAAGGACTGTGGGACCTTGGCTGCTTGGACATCCCAATGGCTTGCTTGGCTCTGGCCACTTTCTGGCCTTTGCCTGCAAGGCCGTGGTGATGAGACCCCTGCCCCTGCCGGTTCCCCTGCTGCTAGTCAGCTTCAGGGGAGGCTTGGGAGCCCCGGGCCTTCAAAGCAGTTTGTGGATGCCATCCTTTGTGCCCAGGGCAGCCCCCACCACACCTCTGCACTGCTCTGAATGCTGGGTGGGCGAGACTCAGGAGGAGGCGGGAGGTTACGTGTGGCTCCTCACACCCCTCTACGTCTGTCCAGAGCAGGCCGTCTGTCAGAGGAGGCTGACAGCTAGCTTCTTGGCGCTGCCGGCCGCAGTCCCAAGAAGCCCTTCTCCTGCCTGCCTGGCAGAGCTTCCACCAGGAGCACCCTGGGAGCTGTTTGCCAGTTTTCAGCAATGCCACCACTCCAGAGAGGAAAGTAGGGAAACCAAACATGTTCATGGTTTCACGCCCGGCCAGCCAGGCTGTGTGCGGGCTGTTCTGCCTCCGGCCACTCGTGGGCAGTAATCTCCCGTGTGCCTGTGTCCCAGAGACTGTGTTGTAGCTAGAAGAGAGGTCTGTGCTGGGAGCCAGGAGACATGGGCTCTGCGGTGGCGGGACCTGGGGCAGGTCACTTCCTGTCTCCGGACTTTCCGGCCTCTCCTGTGGGCAGAGGGGGCTTGCCCAGATGGCCTCAGAGGGCTGGTGTAGGGTCCTCTGAATGTGAGTATTTGCAGCCGCACTACGGTAACTGAGGGAGCCATTGGCATTGGGAGGGACTGTGGCCCCCTTTCTCTCAGCGCACCAGCTGGACTCTGCAGGAGAGTCAGACCTTGAGTGAAAATAGCTTAGCTTAGAGGGGAAGTCGCCTTTCCGCCTCACTCACTGGTGGGCGCGTGTCAGGGGAGGGGACGGCCAGGGGGGCCCCTAGCAAAGGGATAGAGTGGTGTTTCTGGGACACCCAGGACACAGGCGTGAGAATCACTTTTCCCAGGAATTGTGGGCCCCTCAGACATTTGTCCTCATGGTCAGGACAGAGCTGGGCCTTGCCCTCTGAGTGCCGTGGGCCTCACCCCTACTGCTCCTCGGGCCAGCCCTAAGTGGGCCCTGGTCTTCAGCTGTCTGTGGTGAGGACGTGGGAATGCTGTCCTCCAGTTGGAAGCTCCGGGGGTCAGAGACCACAGCAATCCAAGGCCATCGTGCAGTGCCCCCAGCAGGGCCGTGAGGCGGGGGAGCCCTGGGGTCACGTGGTCGGAGGGTAGGCCTCACTGACATCCTCATCTCTCCCTCTCTCCTCCTGCTTTGTCTCTGGGCCTGCTGCTTCCTGACCCCCAGGAGGTGGAGGTGAGTACTGCCTGGGGCGCCACTCCCCTCCTCTCTCTCTGTGCCCACACCCTACTTCTGCCCTGTAGCATCCACTGTGGGATTGGGGGTGGCTGGGGGGGGGGGGGTAGGATAAGGAGCTTACAGGAAAAGCTGGAAGGGATTCTGGACATGGGTTAAGGGGGACAGAAGTCTGGGGGAGGCAGCTGGCAGGCCAGCTGGGTGACGGGGGTCATCCGGGCAGCCACCAAGATGGTGGCAATTTATATGTGTGAGCAGTAGCCCAGCCCACTTCTCTCCCTGGCCCTGGAGTTGAACCCGCTCTGAGATCTAAATCTTGACGCTTCCCTCTCCCCTGCCCCTCACTGTCCTTTCCCAGGATGACTACATCAAGAGCTGGGAGGACAATCAGCAAGGAGATGAAGGTAACGTGCCCCTCCCAGGTCAGGGAAGGTGACTGACACCCATGAAGACTTGAGGCCAGAGGTCAAGTCCTCACCCTGGCCATGGGGGCTCCTCGGGCGGCCAAGGAGCAGAAGAGCTCTGGTCATCAAGAGCTGCTGGAGAGAGGGGTTTCGGAGCCCCTAAGTGGGGCTGGGGGTCCCGGGGTCTCTACCACTGATTCCCAGCTGACTGGAGTTCCGATCGTGTGTCCCTGCAGCCCTGGACACCACCAAGGACCCCTGCCAGAAGGTGAAATGCAGCCGTCACAAGGTGTGCATTGCCCAGGGTTTCCAGCGGGCCATGTGCATCAGCCGCAAGAAGCTGGAGCACAGGTGAGGGGCTGGGGACGGTGGGAGCCCCGGAGGGGGTCTGTGTACAGAGCAAGGGCTCGGCTGACCCTCTCCCACGAGCCAGTCAGCTGTTGCTGTGCAACAGACTACCTCAAAACTGAGTGTCTTAAAATGGCAAGTGTGCACTGTCTCACATTCTCCGAGGGTCAGGAATCCAGATGGTTCTGTCAAACGGTTCTGGCTCAGAGTGTGTGGTGCTGGGGGTGGGGTGAGGGTGCTGTACCAGGGCTGGACTGGGGCTGGAGGGGTCTTGCCCAAGCTCTGGCAGCTGTGGGCTGGCAGCCTCTGTTCCTGGTCACCTGGACCTCTCCATGGGGATGCGTGCAGGTCCGCACAGCGTGGCAGCCGGCTTCCCCTTAGCTGAGTCATTGGAGGGAGAGAAGGAGCAAGGAGGAAGCCACAGGTGACGCCACCATCTGGGGGGGGGGGGATGCAGCTCTCTCTTTGGAAGGAAGGGGTTTCAGGGAATGTGTGGACTAATTTAGAGCCACCACACTATGAGAGATTTGTCACCAGACATATGGGGCCCTGGGAAAGTGTCAGCGCCTCTCTGGGCCTCCGTGTCCATATCTGTAAGACAAATAAGTTGGCCCAGATAGCTTGAGGCTCCTTGCAGCTCCGACATGCAATGACCTCATGAAATATTTAAGGTTGAAGCTTCTGTGGCTGGGGGGGGGGGGAGGGTATTTGAGGCCTTAACTCTAGCACAAGGACAAGCCCCTGCCTGGTGCCAAGACCCCTAGGACAGGCCCTGATTCCCTCCCCTCTTTTCCTGAGTCACAGAACAGAGCCCAGAGACTGCGGTTGCAGTTTCAGGTGCCTCCAGGGGTCTGGCAGGTCATGTAGGTTTTGGAGAGGGCTCAGTGACGGGCCAGGATGGCGAGCCTCTGGCCCTGTGGAAAGGGGCACCGGCTGATGGGGGCCACGGGGGAGTGTGGGCCCGGATGGCCGCGTCTTCCACTTCACTGAGAAAGGCCAAGGATCCAGGTTTTTGCGTGAGCTCTTCCATTGTGTCCATGTTGGTAAACAACTCAGCTAAAAACGAAAACCCCCGGTGGACAAATACAATGAGCCTGCGAGCCAGACACACCTGTGGGCCCTCAGTGTGCAGCCCTGGATTCGGTCTGACCGCTTCAGCCACCAGCGGCTCCCTTTCCCATCTCGCAGTGGGACCTGGAACTGCTGCTGGAGGGCCCTGCTGACTCGGCCACTGCAGGGGAGGCTGGGAGTCTAGACCCTGCCCGCTCGGTCCTGCCCCAGTGAGCTGGGGAGGGAGGGTCTGGCTGGAGGCGAAGGGGAGGGTGGCCGGGTCAGAGGGACAGCTGCATCTACTACAGGTTGCCAGGACCAGCTTCTTGGAACCATTTTCCTGAACCTTCTCTTTCTCTGACCCTCCCTCATTTCACCTCTGTCCGTGTGCGTCCCCATCCTCTTTTCCTGTAGGATCAAGCAGCCTGCCCTGAAACTCCATGCAAACAAAGATCCCGCCTGCAAGCCCTGTCACATGGCCCAGCTTGCCTCAGTCTGTGGCTCTGATGGCCACACGTACAGCTCGGTGGTGAGGGACCCTGGCCCCAGGTGGGGTGGGGGTGCGGTGTACTGGAGGCCACAGGACTGAACAGCCAGCCAGGGCCTCCTGAGAGACTCCCAGTGCAGAGGTGGGGCCGGAAGGGCTGCGTCTGTGCCTGCAGTGTGGCCCATCAGAGTAGGGACACTTGAACCAGATCGTGCCCTTGACCTCAGGCAGTTGAAGGTAGGGGGTGGGGCCTGGAGGAGGCAGGGGGGCAGGTCACTGCCAGTTAGACTAAAGGAGGCGAGGGCCTCCTGAGAGCACCAAGGGTGTGGAAGGAAGGAGATCTGTGACTCGGTGACGGGGCTGGGGGTGCAGGACAGAGCTTCCCACAGGCAGATCCCACACGGAGGGGCTGGTGCTCAGCAGCAAGTCCCGGGCATTTTGGGCGCAGGAGGAAATCCCATTCCTGTGGTGACGATGTGGGAAGAAAGAACGTGGTTTGGGGGAGGAACTCCCACCTTATGGGATTTTTGTGAGGATTAAATGATACAATATTTGTGAAAGCATTTTATAAACTTTAAAATGCCACGGAAGTGCAGGTGCTAATTGTGAATGCTTCTACTGGCAGTGAAGAGCAGGGAGTTTGGGGGCACTGATCGGTAGCTTGAGTTGGGTTCTAGAGCTTAAGAATGCTTTGGGGGTGACATGCAGATTTAAGGACAAGCACCCCCCACCCCGCAGTAGGTGGTGAAGTCACCCATTTACGGGAGGGAGTGGGGAGAGAGAATAAAGCAAGAGGCTGAGAGCAGGAGCTGCTGTGGCGGCGGGCGGGATATAGAGGACCAGGGGGAACTGACAGAGGTTGTGGGAGTAGCGGGAGTGGGAGCAGAATGCTGCGTCACGCTCCGGAGGGCACAGGGAGGTTTGGGCAGGAAGCCGTGGTCTGAGGGTCATGGTGCCGTCCCGTGGGGAGGTAGAGGGAGGGCATCGGGAGGTCTGGTTTCCACTGCTGCCCCGTGGCCTCCGGCCAGTCCCTAGGCCTCTCTGAGCTTCCATGTTCTCTGCTGAGCACAAGAAACACAATCCCTCCCTCCCAGAGCTGAAGGGGAGCAGGAGGGATGATGCTATAACCATGCTATGACCTGCCCCTCATTAGCCATCTCCCCATGGGGAGAAACCAGACGCCACCAGGGGAAAAGGCGTTAAAGCCAAGGACTGGATGAGCCTCTCTCAGCAGCTGGCTTTAGCGAACAGCTGCAGCGGGGTATTGTCAGTAAAGGCCCAGGAGTGGCAGATGTTTAATAGTTGGTAGCTGTTTGTTATCAAGGAAGACAAGCAAAGCCCGGGCAGACAACTGTGGAAAGGCCATTGAGGGAGGGGCCAGCAGCCAGGGAACCAGTGGCCAAGAGACTGGTGAGCTAGAGGAGAGGCCATGAGGGCAAGGAGGGGGTGAACAATAATGAAAAGGGGCAGGTGGGCGGCTGGGGGCGAGGGGATGAGGAGGCAGGCATCCTGGGAAAGATAAGTGTGCAGAGAGGGCAGGCTGGTGCAGAGCAGGGTTCATGGGTGCCTTAGTTGTTAGGACCCCCTTCTTGGGTGTACTGCCCCTTGCACTGTGTACCTATGGCCACCAGAGGGACCAGGTGAGCTGTTTATGGGACTGTCCTCCTGTCACATGGGTGTCTCCAGCTGCAGGGCCCCCTGAGGTGAGGCCCCATCACCCACCGACCTGACCTTTCATCTTGTGCAGTGTAAGCTGGAGCAGCAGGCCTGCCTGAGCAGCAAGCAGCTGACGGTGAAGTGTGAGGGCCCCTGCCCTTGCCCCACGGAGCAAGCCACCACCTCCACCACAGATGGCAAACCAGGTAAAGCGGAGTGCTGGGCCACAGCCAGGATGGGGTGGGTTGGGGTGGGGTGGGGTTCCCTGCCGGGGCTCCGGGTTGGCAAGGGAGGTCTGCAGAGCAGTGAGGGAGAAGTGGCAAAAACAGGGACTGGCCTGGGGTGGGGGGCTGGCTAGCACAGACCAGGAGGGCTTGGGCCTCAGCTGCAGGGAGCGGTGCTGTGGGTCTTTAGTGCTAGGGAGTGAGGGGGAGGAAGGAGAGGGGGAGAGGGAGCCTCTACCTTCTAACTTCCCTTCCTGTGGCGTCCCGACAGCCGCCCTGCCTCCCGGCCTGTAGGGCATCATCCCAACCTAGGATCAGGCTTCACTCACCCTCACCCTCCACCCCCTGCTGTTCTGCAGAGACCTGCACGGGTCAGGACCTGGCCGACCTGGGGGACCGGTTGAGGGACTGGTTCCAGCTCCTGCACGAGAACTCCAAGCAGAATGGCTCCGCCAGCAGTGGGGCCAGCCAAGCCAGTGGTATTGGAGCCAGTTGCTCTGCCCCGGGGGTTGAGGGGGAGGGAGATAGGGAGACAGGTGTGTCCTGGGGCAAGCCCACCTTGTCTTTCCTTCTGCCAGACTCTGAGCCTCTAAAAGAGCCTAAACCCCAGAACCAGGGACAGAAGGTTTCAACCGGGGGGAAGGGATTCGGGTTAGCTATTAGGAAGAACTTCTTAAAATAGGTGGGGAGAGCAAAGGCCCTGAAATGTAGCCAAGGGAAGGTAAGGAATTACTTTCTCTGAAGGGCTTTCAAACAGTTTTGAATGGTTTGGGTGCAGCCCTAGGTGGAAGCAGGGAGATGGAACTGACCCTGAACAGAGGGCTGGGGCTGGCGGAAAGGTGAAGGGCGGACGGACAGATGGATGGGGCTCTTTCCCTTGAGCGTGTCAGAACCTTGGTTGTCTCCCCAGGCCTGGACAAGAGCCTGGGGGCCAGCTGCAAGGACTCCATTGGCTGGATGTTCTCGAAGCTGGACACCAGTGCTGACCTCTTCCTGGACCAGATGGAGCTGGCTGCCATCAACCTGGACAAGTACGAGGTCTGCATCCGCCCTTTCTTCAACTCCTGCGACACCTACAAGGATGGCCGTGTCTCCACTGCTGAGTGGTGCTTCTGCTTCTGGAGGGAAAGTAAGTGTGGCCCCTGGCCCTCCAGGGCTCTGCCCGTCACTCCGGCCTTTCTTTAGGAGTCGGAGTGGCTCCGTCTGGTCAGCTGTCGGGTCCGAAAGCTTTCCCAGCTCACCCACGTCCTGCACCCTCTCAGTGAAGCCAACTCTTAAACTCCCTTCCTTGGCAGGCTCCGAGGTGGACCCAGGTTGTGTGGGTCCTGAGGCTTATGCACCGTTGGAGGCCTTCTTAAAGACAGAGTATGAAACACCACGAATGTAACATTTCTAGGGACCTTTGGAGGGTCTTGGAAGGGCTGGCGGGTCCTGAAGCTAAAGCTGTTTTGGCTTTTTCTGTGATTCCACTTTTGGGCTCATCTCACATCATTTGCCCCAAATATATGACTGTGTAGGTGATCATTAGCCTTCGAGATGTTTTGTCATTTGCTGGCTTTATATACCCTGAACCTCAGCTGGACACATGCTTAGAGATCATGGCCAAGTGGCAGCTGTCATTGGTGAGGAAACTGAGGCCCCAAGGGGTCAGCTGCCCGGCCCAGCGCCTGGGTTGGGCCCCGCTGCGCTGCCTGGCCCTGGAGGTGGTTGTGGGGTAAAAGCGGTATCGCATCCGTGGTCCCAGGCTCAGGCTTCTGCTAGAGCTCCACCCCATGCTGTTTTGGGACCCTGGGCAGGTACCTGAACCTGTCTGAGTTCGGTTCTTCACCTGAATTGAGAGGTAACAGTACCTACCTCAGAGACGGTTCCAGGACGGGCTGAGAAAGTCTGCCTGCAGGGCGCTGTGTAAATGACAAACCCCTCTGCCAAACAGGGCCTTTTGATCAGTTTTCTTGCCCCTAACTGCCCGGCCTCCCGGCTCTCTGCATCGCTCCCTCACCTTTACTCTCCAGCCGTCTGAAGCTCACTCTGTCGATTCTGTACACCAGCCTTCTCGGGCAGGAGCCCGGGAACAGACCTCATTTTTCCAGCAGCAGGCCTCCAGCTAGGAAGGGCGAGGGGACTTCTCAAGGTCACAGACGAGTTAGATTTGGCTGCCAATTATTTTCGGGCTTCCAACTAACACCCTCCCTTGTCTTATGTTCCCCGTGGGGCCTCTGTCCCTGGGTAGTGTGTGTGTTCACCCTCTTTTGAATTGTTTACTCACCTCTTGGGTCACCCTCAGAGAGCCCTGGATTTTTGGGAAACTCAGCCTAACCCCACAGCCATGGCCTGGCCTCCCAAGCTGGAGCCTGGGTGCTTTGTCTCATGGTGTCCCTGTGTCAATTTTGGGGACATTAAAGGGACCAGCGCAGCTCCCCACTACTGTGGGGTAGCTCCAGATCTGAGCCCAGCTATTCGCATCTTGCAGACCCCCTGCCTGGGTCTGCAGGCCTGGGGAGGGGGCAGAGTGAATCCCATCACCCCCAAGATGCCCGCCACCACAGGCTGCTTCTCTCCCTGCAGAGCCCCCCTGCCTGGTGGAGCTGGAACGCATCCAGATCCAGGAGGCTGCCAAGAAGAAGCCAGGTGAGGGTCTGGGCTGGGCTCAGAGGAGGAGGCAGGGAGGGGTGCCCCAGGGTCCCCCTGAGACCCAGAGGGTCCAGCCCCTGGGCCGTGGGGAGGACACTGAGCCCAGAGGAGACCTGGCCTGAGAAGACTCCCTTGTGGTGGGGCAGGGCCGCCCACCCAGCCCTCAGTGAATGTGTCTCAGTGCTCACTTTTCCCTCCGCTACTGGAGCTAGAGGCTGGGATACTGAAGGTTCCCAGAATGCTGCACTTTATTCAGTTCCTCAGGGGCGAGTACAGACACTCTCCACTCAGCCCCGAGAAACAACAAACCTGCGCAGGTCAGAGCTGACAGCCAACACAGACAGGGGCCTTGGCCCCGCAAAGCGCATGGACACCCTGGGGAGCCCCCCACATGAAGAGGGCAGCACTACCTGTGGGGGCGAGCATATGTGTGGTGCTGAGGGAGCGATCAGGTAGACACAAGTTAACCTGGGCTCAGCAGAGGCCTTTCTGGGGTGCTAGCTTTCAAGGGGAGACCGGAGGGAGAAGAGTGAGCCAGGCAAGTGCAGAGCTGAGGGCAGGAAAGCACTCCACATCCCTGGGGAAGAGAAAGAAAGGTCCCGTGTGGCTGGAGTGTGGTTGTTGTGGGAACAGAGGTCTGAGAGGCAGCCTCCTGGCTCCTTGAGAGCACCTGGGCGTGCACCTGAGTGTGCACCTGGGCTGGTGAATCCAGCGCTGCAAATCCACGTGCACCGAGAGCCCAGTGGCCTCCAGGGGTGGACTCCGGCGCCACTTCTGCCAGGAAGCCATCAGGACCTCTCTCATCTGTATCCCCAGGCAGGCTTGCTGAGCCCTCGCACACCCATCCTTGGGGACTGGTGTTGTTATTTCTGTGTGTGTCTCAGCCCCCTGAGTGGGCGGAGTCTATCTCTGGATCCCAGAGTGGTTGTCTCAGGAGATGCCTGTTGAGGGGACGGAGGAGCAGCAGGTCGGAGTCAGAGGGGCCGAGAGGAGAAGCCTGGGCACCGCCAGCGGGGGACAGCCAGGGCGTGGGAGCCGCCGCGGGTGGGGGGCATTGAGCGCGCGGAGATCAGACTGGCCATCGGACAAGACTGGAGCCCACCGAGCGCAGGGGGTGGTGGAGGCGAAAGGGAGCCAGCACGGGGCCCGAGCAGGTCATGTGGGGATACGGGTTTTCTCCTCTCCAGTCAGTGGAGCTGGAAGAAACACTGGCGTCCAGGCTTGTCGGGCGGTCGGGACCTGGGCTGGTGGGGTCCGGCCCTGCCCGTGTCCAAAGCTCCTCCCCGAAGAGCCGGTACCTCCAGGCCCTGCTCTGACCCCGCCAGGGCCTCTCTCACCCAGGAGTCTTCATCCCGAGCTGCGACGAGGACGGCTACTACCGGAAGAAGCAGTGTGACCAGAGCAGCGGTGACTGCTGGTGTGTGGACCAGCTGGGCCTGGAGCTGACCGGCACCCGCACCAACGGGAGCCCCGACTGCGGTGAGGGCCGGGCGGCAGCACAGGGCTCTGACCGCCCCCGGGAGGACCTGCGTGGGTCCGCGTGGTGGGCGGACTTCCAGTTGGCAGTGGGGAGAGGCGGCCCGCAGGGTCCTAACCTGACCCCGGCTCGTTCATCTCACAGACGACATCGTGGGCTTCTCGGGCGACTTCGGGAGTGGTGTCGGCTGGGAGGACGAGGAGGAGAAGGAGACGGAGGAAGCGGAGGAAGCTGGTGAGGAGGCCGAGGAGGAGGAGGGCGAGGCGGGCGAGGCGGACGACGGAGGCTACATCTGGTAGACGGTCCTCGGGGGCCGCGGCAGGGGGACAGGCCAGCGGAGACCTGGAGAAAAGTGGGCAGTTTATGAACGGACCCGGATGGTACAGCCGGGAGGACCCCTGGCTTCAGCGGGAGAGTGGAGTGTGAGTGTGCACAGCACGCCTGTGGCCCGGACGTAGGAATGCCTGTTTGTGTGTGTGTGTGTAGCATGCACTGACAAATGTGTCCTTGGTCCACACTGCTCCTGGCAGAGTGAGTCATCCAAAGACCGGTGGCCTCCTTGTAGTTATTTTCTTTCCATTTGTTTTTAAGTATGCACGTTCACACATACATACACCCACTGAAAGGTCAACATTGATGAAATGCGGTGCCCCTCCACCGTGTCCCCGGCCTGCACCCCGCCCTGCCCTGACACCCGTGTCCTGATTGACCGCCCCCAGCTCGGCCAGCCCCGACTCCTCCCGCCCCCGCCTGCCCTGCTTCCTCCCCCGCTGGGGTCAAGCTCTGGTCTGCTGGCATGTCCCCATTGCAGAGGGGAGGGGGGCCGAGGAGCTCTCTGCTGGCTGGGGTCTTCCCAAAGCTTGGCCAGTTTGGCTGTGACCGCCCCACCAGCCTCATCTGAGGCCGGGACACCCACCCCAGCAAGCCCTTTCCCTTCTCAGGGCTCTACAGCACTAGAGAAACTTTCCTCGCCCAAGCCAGTGTGACCGAGGTGGCCGGGAAGGAGCTGGGGACACAAGCCGAGAAGCAGGGGGAGGGAAGGCCTGGCCGCGCTGCCCGGTGTGGCGCGGGGCTGACTGGCAGGGAGAGGCTGCCCCTGCAGGTGCAGGCGGGACAGCCCTGCATGAAAGGCCCAGAACAGTCCAGCCTCTTCCCGTGGGTCTTAGGTGGAGGCCATTCCCTTGGGGGCAGTGGGTGGTTGTTACGTAAGTGGGCTGTGCCTGGCCACTGTAGGTGCCACATCTGCCCCTGTCCCCCTTGCTGGGGAGCCCTGGTCCCCTCTGGGAGCCTGAGGGTCAGGCAGCAGCAGGTGAAGAGCCTGGGTCTTTGCCGTATGTGTGCCCCCACCTCCACCTCCTCTGACCCCTTCATAAATGCCCCCTCCTGTGCAGACCAATAGAAAGGGTTCTTCCTGAGACTCTGTGATGGAAGAACCGAGGAAGCCTGCAGCAGAGACCTTGACCTTTTTCCATACCGCCTCCAAGGGGGAGGCGCTTCTGGCCCAGGAACGTTTCCAGCCTCACTCCTCAGCTCCTGGCATTCGCTGGGTCCCCTGAGGCTGCTGTAGTGGAGGGGCTTCTCCAAGCTCTGAAGTGAGTGTTGTGACAAGTCGGGGGGGGGGGGGGGGACTGGGACAGCCAAGCCCTGAGGCCACACCTCACTGTTCCCCCAAATCTCTTTACCAGGAGGGAGCTGGGCTGGATGAGAAAGTCCCCATCCCTCCCAACCTGCTGGTCCTCCCTCTTGAAGCAAGTCCTTCACCCTGATGGTGAAGGATCTTTTACCAAGGCTTGGGCCTCTGATGCCCTTCAGTGCGTGGTGTGGGCAGTGTGTGTGTGAGAGAGTGTGTGTGTGTGCTTGTATGCGTGTGCATGTGCACACTCTGACACTAGGGGCCATCCCTTGAAGCCTGGGATATGAGGAGGGGCACACTACGTGCTGGGTGGGGGGCAAGGTGAGGTTCCCCGCACTAGGCCCTGGTCCAGGTCTCCCCAGCTTCTGCAGCACCCACTGTGTCTGTTGGACTTGATGGAAGAACCTCATCCAGTCTGCCCCTTCACGCCACCCTGGGATTCACATCTTCCAGGTCTTCTCTTGGGGAAAAGAATGGCACTCCAGTTAAGCCCCATAAAAACCACTTTTCATTCTGCAGCACAGGTTCTGATTATGAAGGTGTCACGCTGTTCCAGCTCCCCCAGTGTCTTGTGTCCCCGCTCTCCCTTCCCTGTCCTCTCACCTCTTCCCTCTGGTCCCCAGCTCAGCTCAGGTCAGGGAAATGTCGTTCACGTTGGCCCTCTGCTCTCTGAGCAGCCCCTTCTGTCACTCGGAGCTACTTGAAACTTCCTGTCCTCGCTGGGATTGAAGTCTGTCCGTCTCTTCCTCTGCCCCAGCTCAGGCTTCCGGAATGTCCTCCTGGGGGCAGCGGTGAGGACGCTGAGGTGTTCTGGGGGGAAGAAGGGGCGCCCTTCCCCTCTCACTGTTGCCCTCCTCTCCGTTGTGGGGGGTACTCCCTCTGTGTCTCTGGGTCTCCTGGTTGTGCACGTTTTTATGACCTTGTAAATATGTTGTAGAAGGAAAGCAAAAGGCGTTGAACTGGACCCTGGCGGACTCAGGAGTCCAGCCTTGCCCTGTCTCTGGAGCCTCCGCACTGCTATTCACCCTACTCTTGAGACTGAGGCCCCCCAAAGCCAGACGGAGCAGCTCGTTCCCCGTGGGCTGCAGGCCCCCACGTGACCTCTCCTCGGCACGCTGCAGGTTGCCTTGTGAGCAGGGTTGCGGGTGGCTCTTCCTCAGCTCCTTGGATTCATGCCCTTGACCAAGCTGCCCACCACCCGGCCCCTCCCGTGTCCCTCTACTTGGATGTCCTCTGTCCATCCTGTCCCCATCCCCCTGGTTTATGCAGGCAGTGGAATTAGGGCTGCCTTGAAAAGAGCTCAACCAAAATTTTAAGTTTCTTGTGGGCCTGAAGCTGCCTAAGACCTCCTATCCCGCGGGTGCCGGGAGAGATGGGTGTGTCTAAGATGGGGTAGGCTGGAGCGGGAGAGAACAAATGTGCCTTGAGAGACCAGTCAAAGAGGGTCCAAGGGCGATGGGGGAGGCAGCGCAGCGTGGAGCGGAGCTCAGGAAGGAGGAGGGGGAGGTGAAGCTGATGAGAGTGGGATGGGTTATCCCGACGGCCCCTGTCGTCCCACTGGGGCTGTGACCTTACGGGGTCAGCGGTCACCCTTCTTTCCTCATGCCAGCCTGTCTAGTTTTAGTGGGCAGGCCGCTCACTCAGCCTTTCGTGAGCTGCATCTGCTTCCCATTCCCCTCGGAGTGGGTGGGTCCATTGGGATGGACATGGGAACCTCCGTTTCACCAAAGCCTCACCCTCAGCCCTTGGGGAGAAGGAACGGCTGACCTGCTGGCACCTGGCACCGTCTGCGGCTGTGGGCTGGCAGGGGTGAAAGGGAGGAGCCGCTGGGGGTGGGTGCAGAGGGGATTCAGGGCATCCCAAGGAAGTCCCAAGCAGAGCAAACTGCTTTATAGCCTGAAGCTACTTAAACTAAACTGTGTCATGTGCAATAACTGAGCTTAGAGTTAAGAATCGTGTTCAAGTGCTTGGATTTCCGTCTGTGTATTTAAGTGCTGAAACTGTATCTCAGTAATTTTAGATGTCTTTAAAAAATCGAAAAACAAAGTGTTAGCCCGTGTGTGCGCACTGATGGGCACTCCAGCGTCCGGAGGATCACCCCCTCCCACTTCCCGAGGCCCCGCCCGCACACCGAGCCCCGCCTCCACTCGGGGCCCTGCCTCCTGTCGTCCTTATCTGCCTAGTACTCAGCCTAAGGAAATCAGTACGCTCGCACATGCATAACGGAAATCAAATGTTATTTTTAAGAAAATGGAAAATAAAAACTTTATAAACACCACCTACTGGCAATACTCTGATTCTTCTTCCCCCCACTGTCATGTTCCACTGAAAAGGCATTCACAGGGGGGGCGAGAGGGCAGGCACCTTCCTGGTCCCTCCATACAGGACCCCTGGGGCGGTGGGGCCAGGAGGAGGGCACCGACCTATGGGGGGGGGGGCAGGAGCAACTTAGAGATAGTTTTTGTATTATTGCAAATATATGAGCAATCTTTATTTGTCTATATACTTGCCAGTAAATGCATCTCTGTCATAGAGATCAGACTGTCCCGCTTTTTACATTTAACCTGTTATGCACCTTTCCCCATGCTGTTAAAATTGTTTGAAGACACGACTTGAATATGTGCACAGTATTCCCAATTTGATGTAATCTAATGAATCAAACCATTTCTCTGTTTTTGGACCTTTCTATGGTTTTCAATTTCTTGGCATTCTCAACTCTAGCCCTAGAACTTGCTAACCGTGACCTTGGGCAAGTCGTCGGGCAGGCGGGGAGAAGAGCTCATTTCGCAAGGATCACAGACCTGCAGCAGTGCTTTCTGAACAGGAAAGCCCTGCACGAGTGTCTGCCTCTGCCCCGTGCCAGCCCGCAGCTGGGCCAGACTCTGCTTCTCCGCCACAACGGTCCTAAGGAAGGAGCTCCTGGGAAGGGGCGGCGGCCACGCAGCACGGTTGGCTGCCCTTCGTTTTTCTCATGGCCACCTGCAAGGTCAGACTCAGGGGCTCTTCCTGGAAGGAAGTGTGAGGAGTGACGTGTCTTGATGAGGAGCTGCTCCCAGTGCGCAGGATGAAGGACAAAGTGGGTGGGGACAGGGGCTGAAACCCCTGGGAACTGGTTCACTCTCTCGGCTTGTGGGAATGTGTGGCTTTGGAAACGGAGGAACCAAGGGGCAGGGTGGGCTTGGGGTTGGTATGGGTCAGTGGAATCATCTCAGAGCACAAGGTGGGTATTGTTATTAGTGCCCATTTAACTGATGAGGAAACTGAGTCTCAGGTTTGGTAGCTTGCCCAAGGATAGACAGCTAGCGAGGGGCAAAGCCCGGATTCTGCTTCCTACCTACCACCTGACACAAAGCAGGCTGCCATCGGTGCCCAGTGACTGCTCCTCATACAGCCACAGGTGCCCAGAGGACGGTCATCCACATGGGGTAAATTCAGGAAGGCTTCCTGGAAGAATGGGACTTTAGCTAGGTCCCCTAGACGGGTAGGAATGATCTGGCAGCTCACCCTGGCTGTACATTAGAATCATCTGGGGAGTCCAGGCTCCCTAGGCCCCACCCCCAGAGAGTCTGATTTTGTTGTTCTGGGTGGTCCCAGCATCAGCATGTTTGTTCCCAGGTGTTGCTGACGTGTGGCCATGTGCGTGTTATCCAGCTAAGCAGACAGAAGCCGCATGCCCCGGTGAGGACAGGATGTGAGAGGCCAGGGCCAGACTAAGCCTGTGAGGAGCCATGACTGGAACTTCACCCCTGGATGGGGGCGGAGCGAGGCCTGCAGGCCAGTTCAAGGGCAGGAGCAGGAAGCTCCGGCAGTTTCCTGGCAGGAGGGCTCCTGTGTTACTGTTTCATCCAGCATCTGGTCAATCACCAAGCCAGGCCTGGGTACCAGTCACGGAGGAGCCTACAGCCTGGAACCCTCTGAGTGAGCGTCCTCAACCGGCTGGAAGTGCTGGCGTTTGCAACTGACCAACATTGGTTCAGGCGGCTGGGAGATGCAGGCCTGGCCGAGCGTTGGCTCCTGGAACAGTACACCTGTATCATTGCTGCCATGTCTGACCCCGGGTCCCCAGGGCCAGCAGCAAAGAGCACTGCTGGGGACAGGCCCGAGTGCCGGCCACCACTCAGAAAGCACCAGCTGTCCGCCCCTCGGACACAGTCCTTCAGCCCCGTCTCCCACCCTGTCCCATGCTGGGGGTGGCCTCGGTTCGTGTGGTTGTACACGGTGAGCCTGGTGTCACCAGGCCTGCTGCCTCCCTTGTCAGCCCCCATGTCTGCCGCCATGCCTGGTGTCACCCCCACCACAAGAAAAGGCCATACAATGAATACCCGCGCCGCTGCACAGACGGGTGGGAGCACGCGTGCCGGGAAGAGCTCGGAGAGCAAGGGCATTTGGGTGTGTCCGGTCCTTTCTCTGAACTTGTGTCCACGCCGCTCTGGGAGCCTCAGTTTCCCTCCCTGTAGGACGAGCAGATCGGAATAGGTTGCCCAGCTTTGTGGTTCTGTGGAAGAGTGGGAAGGCCTGAATCCAGAAATCAGTTTCAGGGCTTTCTCTAACATTCCGCATTCACTCTAATTAACCCCCGAGGGCTCTCACAGTTCCAAAGAAAATTAACTGCTGTAAAGAGGACAGTGGGGAAGGAATGTGAGCCATGGCAGCCACCTTTCTGAGGGTTCAAAGGGCCAAGAGCTTCTGTTTGGGTCATTTATAGGTGCAAGATGTCCAGGCAGGAGAATGCTTAAATTTTTGGAGGCTGTGGCCAGGCTGTGGAGCATGGTGTTCCCTAAAATTGGAGGAAAAGGCTAGGAGAGGCAAGCACCATCTCCATGTGATGGCCACAGAGGCCAAGGTTGGGTGGTCACGTCGCTGACACTTGTGGCTGCAGCAGATGCTGACCTCAGGCTCAGCCACGCCAGAGCTTCCCACACGTGATCTCATCGGAGCCTTAGAGCAGTCCCCATCATCCTACGGATGAGAAAACCAGTCACAGGACCCTCTGTGACAAGTCCTCTCACCGCTTCCCCTTCACAGGTGGTGAGGCGGAGGGCTTGGGTGGCGAACATGTGGCTGAGCTGGGGCTCACGCCCAGGCTGCCTGGCACCAGGGGCCATGCTCTGAGCTGCCACCTGATGTAATACTTTTTTAAAAACTGTTTTTAAAATATATTTTATTGATTATGATATTACAGTTGTCCCATTTTCCCCCCTTCATTCCCCTCCATCCTGCACACCCCCTCCCACCCACATTTTCCCCCTTTAGTTCATGACCATATGTCATAAGTTCTGACTGGTTTCCCATACTATTCTTGCCCTCCCCCTATTTTCTACCTACCATCTATGCTACTTGTTCTCTGTACCTTCTCCCCCTCTCTCCTCCTCTCAATCCCCTGTTGCTAACCCTCCACGTGATCTCCATTTCTGTGGTTCTGTTCCTGTTCTAGTTGTTTGCTTAGTTTGTTCCTGTTTTTGTTTTAGGTGTGGATGTTAATAACTGTGAGTTTGCTGTCTTTTTACTGTTCATATTTTTTATCTTCTTTTTCTTAGATAAGTCCCTTTAACACTTCATATAATAAGGGCTTGGTGATGATGAACTTCTTGAATTGGTCTTATCTGAGAAGCACTTTATCTGTCCTTCCATTCTAAATGAAAGCTTTGCTGGATAGAGCAATCTTGGATGTAGGTCTTTGGATTTCATGACTTGGAATACTTCTTTCCAGCCCCTTCTTGCCTGTAAGGTCTCTTTTGAGAAATCCGCTAATAGTCTGATGGGAACTCCTTTGTAGGTGACTGTCCCCTTATCTCTTGCTGCTTCTAGGATTCTCTCCTTCATTTTAATCTTGGCTAATGTAATGATGATGTGCCTTGGTGTGTTTCTTCTTGGGTCCAACTTCTTTGGGACTCTTTGAGCTTCCTGGATTTCCTGGAAGTCTATTTTCTTTGCCAGAATGGGGAAGTTCTCCTTTATTATTTGTTCAAATAACTTTTCCACTTGTCGCTTTTCCTCTTCCCCTTCTGGTACCCCTATAATTTGGATGTTGGAACGTTTAAAGATGTCCTGGAGGTTCCTAAGCCTCTCCTCATTTTTTCGAATTCTTGTTTCTTCTTTCTTTTCTGTTTGGCTATTTCTTTCTTCCTTTTGGTCCACTCCATTGATTTTAGTCCCAGATTTGTTTTTATCACTATTGGTTCCCTGTGCATTTCCCTTCATTTCACTTAGTGTAGCCTTCATTTTTTCATCTAATTTGTGACCAAAATCAACCAATTCTGTTGGTTGATCACCTGATCATCCAGTGCTTTGAACTGTGCATCTAATAGGTTGGCCACCTCTTGGTTGCTTAGATGTATTGGCTCTGGGACTTTGATCTATTCTTCCATTTGAGCCTTTTTTTTTTTTGGAGGGGGATGTCTGGTCATGCTTGTTACTCAGTACTCAGTGAGGGGAGGAGCCTTAGGGGTTCACCAGGGTGGGGCAACCCATGTTGCTGGGTTGTGGCACTGTATGTGTGGCACTGTCAGAGAGGGAACAATGGCGCTTGCTCCACTCTGTCTTGGATTTCAGTCCCTTCTGCCACTTCCCACAAGCAAATCAAGCCCTTCTGGTGCTAGTTCCCTGGTGGGTGGGCTTGTGTACATTCTAGGACCCTGTGGGTCTTTCCAATGAACTCTCCTGTGAGGCTGGGAGTCTCTCCAGGCACCTCAACCCCCACGAGTGTTTTCAATTGGTGCTTTTAGGCTTTATTTCCTGGCGCTGGGGCCCTGGGTTGCACAGTCTGTCTCGCTGCCCATTTTCACCTGGTTTATCTGCAGGCAAATGTGTGACTGTGGTCAGCCAGCCGCCTTGCGCGCCTCACTGGGTTCTGCTCGTTTCTTCTCCATGCCTGGGGTCTGCCAACTGCCGTCTGTGAACCTGGGTCACTAGCCCCCTCATTTTCCTGCCATGACCCCTTTCCCCCAGCTGCTGACTCTGCCCCTCTTACCAGTCTGGATGAATGGTTGTCGGACTTCCATACAGTTCAATTTTCTGTCTGTTATAGTTGTTTTTTTGTTTTTAAATTTTTGTTGTCCTTAATTTTGGTTGTGCAAGGAGGCACAATGTGTCTACCTACGCCTCCAACTTAGCCAGAAGTCTTAAAAAACTTTTATTTGCAGCCTTGGCTGGGGTGACTCAGTGGGTTGAGTGCCGACCTGCAAACCAAAGGGTTGCTGGTTCAATTCCCTATTAGGGCACATGCCTGGGTTGTGAGCCAGGTCCCCAGTGAGGGGCATGTAAAAGGCAACCACACATTGATGTTTCTCTTCCTCTCTTTCTCCCTTCCTTCCCATCTCTCTAAAAGTAAATAAAATTTAAAAAAACTTTTATTTACCTTTATTTTATGCTGAATTTATTCCCAGGCCATAAGGTCTTTTTTAAATCAAATTTATTGGGGTTACCTTAGTTAAGAAATCATATAGGTTTCAGGTGTACAATTCTATAATTCATCATCTGTATATTGTGCTGTCTTCACCACCCAACTCACGTCTCTGCCATCACCACTTACCCCCCTTTATCCTCTCCTGCCCCCCCCAACCTTCCACCACCGCTTCCCTCTGGTCGTGACTGTACTGTCATCTGTCTATGAGGTTTTTTGTTTTTTAGTCCCTTCACCTCAGGCTTGTGTTTCTTCAGTTCCTTCTGGGATATCTTTCCCTCCCGCACAACCCCCTCTTCTGGTTCAGGAACAGCCCGCCCTTTTTCAGGCAGGAGCCCCTGGGTGTGGCGGAGAGCGCTCCCGGGTGGGTTCCTCCGCCCGCCGGCTCTGGGAGGTCTGGGCCGCAACTTCGCTCACGTGGATGTGTGATTCTGTGACCAGGGAACCCGCGTCTAAACCCTTAAGTTCCGCGTCACTCTCTGCGTTTTTAGCACATGCTGCACAAACTCGGCACTCTTTTCGGGCCACCCACCCGGCGTCCAGCCCCACTGTCTGGCCCGGGCTCTTCTCCCAACTCTGCTGTCGTAACGACGGAAGGGCACACATTGAAAGTGACATCCTTTGGCGACGCGGTGGCTGGACACGCGTGCCCTCGATGGCCAGAGCAGTTTCACGAGTGTTCTCACAGTGAACATGGAGATCTGAACCTCTCGATTCGCATGACTTTTATGGGGTTTTCTGGGCCGAGTGAATAGCAAATTGTTTTCAGAAATTACCTCAGGCTACTTATGGGAAGATTTTATTTATTTATTTGTCAAAAGAGAGGAAGGGAGGCCCTGGCTGGTGTAGCTTGGTGGATTGAACGCAGGCCTGTGAACCATACGATCGTGGTTCGATTCCCAGTCAGGGCACATGCCTGGGTTGCAGGCCAGTTCCCAGCAGGGGACTCACGAGGGGCAACCATACATTGATATTTCTCTCCTTCTCTCCTTTCCTTCCTCTCTAAAGATAAATAAATAAAATCTTAAAAAAAAGAGAGAGAGAAGGAGAGAAACAGTGATGTGAAAAATGTTGATCAGCTGCTTCTCGTACATGCCCCAATTAGGGACCAAACCCAGAAACCCAGCGTGTGGCCCGACTGGGAATTGAACCGGCAACCTTTCACTTTGCAGGGTGATGCCCAGCCAACTGAGCCACACTAGCCACCAGGCAGTGGGAGGGTGGGTGGTTTCACTTGAGTATTTGCTTCCCTGGGCTCTAGAGGAGGAAGAGGCCCCCTCCCTGCACTGCATCCTCTCAGCCACGTTTGTGGTCAGTGACAGACACCACTGGAGACTGCACGCAGAGCAGGGCAGCCTTCCCTCCACCCCACCCCCAGCTTCCTTCCCAAACCCAGGCCAGGCAGCGGGCCCCGGCTGGCTCCCCCAACGCTTGCCTTGCCTGGGGCACCAGCCCAGGCCCTGGCAGCAGCTCAGTGCTCACCGTGAACTGTATCTGCCCAGGGACACTCAGAACCAGCCAGGAGGCCCCGTCTGCTGCGGTGAGGGCCCTGGGCCAGGGCTGAAGCCCCTGTTCACTTGCAGCCCAGCCATGTCCTGTCCCATGGGAACCCACGGCGCCAGGGGTGATGCTGGGCTCCTCGCTCTGTTGCCCTGTACCTGCAGCCCTGCGGGCTCCGAGCTCCACCCGCCTCGGTCTCTTTGGTGTTGCTCCCCATCCATTCCTTCTGCCCACACACCAGGCTCCAGGGCCTGCCTTGCTCGGGACTCAGGGGGCGACAATTTGTCTGATGTTGTCAGACTCAGAATCCTAGAATCATCAAATCCTAGAGACGCAGAGCTCATTTGGGCTGCTCCTTCCCCAGAGCTGTACTGTCCTTGACCCATGGAAATCGGAAGCTCCACACAGCTGAGTTTATTGAGCCCCAGTTGGATGCAAGTCTCTCTGCTTATCAGGGCATGGAGAGGGTGACAGGATGGTGGGAAAGTGGAAGCAGCGAGCCCTGGCCGGTGCAGCTCAGTATATTGCGCTCAGGCCTGTGAACCAAAGGATCACTGGTTGGATTCCCAGTCAGGGCACATACCTGGTTGCAGGCCAGGTCCCCAGTAGGGGGCATGCAAGAGGGAACCACACATTGATGTTTCTCTCCCTTTCTCCTTCCCTTCACCTCTCTCTAAAAATAATTTTAAAAAAAAGAGGAAGCAGAGATCTGGCCTGCCTTCGGAGGCCCCGGAATCCAGAAAGGTGGAGGAGCCTGTGTGAGGATTTTGTCCTTTCAATATCGCTCCAGACTTTCAAAGCCCAGTTCCAATGGCCGTTCTCTGGGAATTGCGCAGAACAGAGTGAGCTTGGCAGGTCTGAGACAGTCCCCTCCGAACGGCCCGCTGGCAAGCCTGGCCCATGGCTGGAGCCCAAGAAACTTGGATTTCAGAAGGGTTCCCACGATTCTCTAAGGACAGGGGCTCACTGGGCCCACGTCATCTGTGTGAACAACAGGGCTTACGCTGAACACCTGCTTTCCTTGGGGGAGTCTGGAATTTTGGTACGTGCAAGGCAGGCGGTGCCTGGGGAAGAGCCCCTAATAAACACCCTGGTGCTGGGTCTCTAATGAACGTCCCTAGTAGAAAACCTTTCACGTGTCGTCACAACTGGGAGGCATGAAGCGTGTCCTGTGTGACTCCAGTGGGAAAGGGCCCTTGGACGCCTGTTCCTGGTGTCCTCCAGCTGTCCCCTGTGCCAGTTTTGCTCAATAGGCTTTTATTGTAATAGGTATTAGCTGTGAGTGTGGCTATACGTGGGTTCTTGTGAGTTCTCCTAGCAAGTCACCGAACCTGGGGTCTTAGGAACCACCAACACTGAACTTCCTTGTCCGTAAGCGACATATTTAATCTCTTTTTTCTTAGGATCTTGCAGAAGAGAGAGGTCCCTTGGATGTGGGATGAAGAGTGTGTGCAAACTATTGGGTGTTGGGAGCTCCTAGCCTGAGCTCCTGGGGAGCGTGACAATTAGCTCGGCTAAGCGAGGACACAGCGGGCCTCACTCCCTGAGGGCTTGCTCTGCACCGTGCCCTGTGCCGTAGGCCACACCCGCTGGGTCCTCTCGTTCACCCCTCCCAGAGCCCAAAGGGCCGGGGGATCAACGAGAACCACAGGGGTCCAGAGAGAAGGCCTGTGGTGTGGAGGAGGGCCTCCTGCCCTGGGGATGAAGGCCGGGCCCTGGCGACAGATCCCGAAGCCCGTGGTTCTTAGCAGTGCCTCCAACACAGGCTGGAGCAGGGGCCACCAGAGGACCCCAGGTCTACTCTCCCCTCCTACAGGTAACAGAACTCCCGTTTCTAGCTGGGCACCTGGTTGCCTAGACAAAGGCTGTACTTGCAGCTCCACTGCAGCTCCACATGGCCAGGTGGCTCCCTGGTGAGCAGTGGATGCTAGGATGTGAGCTGAAGTGATTGACACCACTCCCTGGCTCTGGCCTCCGCTCTCCTCTGCCTCTTCCCACTGGCGGGAACACGAACACGGCAGCTGCAGCTTGTCCGTGCAGCAACCGGGGGAAGGAGCCTGGGCCTGGCACGCCCTGGAATCTCTGCCTGGCTCGGGGCTGGCCAGGCCTGAGACTGTCCTGGAGAGAGGTGTAGACGTTTATTCGGTGTAAGCCACTGTTGTTGTTGTTGTTATTATTATTATTATTATTATTATTTTGATCTCTGATACAAGAGCCAAATCTATCCCTTAATTCTCGAACTTTCTTCCATGACCACAGAAAGAAGTAGATTTTACCTTGTGACGTGTGTGACTAGGACAAAGCTTCAGGAAACTGTGCAATTCGATTCCAATGTTTTAATTTTATTTAGTTTCTTAAGACATGCTGCTTGTGTGCTCACTAAATGGTCACCTGGAGTCAGAAAAACACCATCTTGACCATTGCCCAGCCGACACTCCCCCCGCTCAGACCGCCAGCTTTCCCACTTCTCTGCTACGCCTTCCCCTCCCCCTTTCCCCTCTTTCTGACAGCCATTCACTCAACAAACATTACGGAGTGTCCACTCCGGGCCAGAAGCCACTCCAGCTCTCATCCTGGTAACAGTGGCAAGGAGCTGAGAGAGTACAAATCTGACTGCCAGTGATCAGGGAGGCTTCCTGGTGGAGGTAGCATTTGCAGCAGGTCTTGAAGAACAGAGATCGACGTGGAAGGGCAACATCCTGCATTCCTGGCCCCAGCTCCGCCGCAGCCTCAGTTTCAGCCTCTCCCAACGTCACAGTCTTGAGGTGCTGGCCACACTGGTCTTCCTTCTGTGCCTGAATAAAGCCTAAATCTTTCCCATTCTAGGACCAGGACCCCCACATCTGTTCCCTCTGTCCGGAACGCCCACCCTCCACCTCACAGCTGGTCACCGTCCACCCGCTGCTGACTGGCCTGGGCGAGCGCCTGCCTCTAGTCATGTAGATCATCTAGGCGATGAGCAGTGACTGTTGAGTGAATATTCATTCACTCAGTCCTGTTCACCCTTTGCTTGGATGACCGCAGCAGCCTCTGCCCTGGTCTTCTAGCCCCCTCCTTTCTAGCACTCCTGCTCCATCTTCGTCACAGCTGCCATGGAGACAGGGCGATTTCCTTCCTCTACTTCAAACCCTCGGTGGCTCCCTGTTACCCACAGGGTCAAAGTCAAGCTTTTTGGAAGACTGGTGATTAGGCCCCCGCACTGCTCAGCAGCATCTTCTCTTTCCTCATCACGTCCTGTGGCTCAGAGCCTTAGCTTAGGCTGTGTGCCCACCTGAACATGGTCTCCATTCTCCTTCCTCACCTGGCAAACCCCTACCCAGCCTCAGAAACCCAGCGCGAACATTGTGTCTCCCACCTCCTCGGGCACAGAGCGCCCAGCTGCCTCGGTTCCCCACTGGTCTCGCGTCGGCCGGCGCCCCGGGAGGGCTCTTCCCTGCTGCACTGCCCTGAGGACACAGACCGGGTCTTCTCACATCTGCGTCCCTGCATCCTGGGATCCTGTTCCAAGTAAGCCCTGATATCATCATGCTTGTCTGAAGTATTCATCATCACTCCTGGTGCTATTTACCACCCTTAGAGAGTCACCTCTCGTAAGTCGCTTGAACAATGTTGCCCTTTCCTGCGGAAACTTTCTGCAAGTTGCTTCCAAGCCAACGTATCCCAGTGTTTCTTGTTGGAAACCAGAAGGCCAACGTTTTATATGGATTGATGAAAACTTTATATTTGGTTAAAAGAAACAAGTTTTTGGTACTTTTGTTTATTTTGTAAATTGGTACATCATTTAAGGCATATTGATTAGTGTGTGTGTGTGTGTGTGTGTGTGTCAAATTGACCTACTTTCTGCCTCCTGAACTTCTCTCCCATCTTATATTCATATTTCAAAAGGAACTTTATCCCTCCCTGGCCAGGTGGCTCAGTCAGTTGGAGCATCGTTCCATGCACCAAAAAGTTGCGGGTTCAATCCTGGTCAGGATACATACCGAGGTTGCAGGTTCGATCCCTGATTGGGGCGTGTACAGGTGGCAGATAATCGATGTTTTCTTCTCTCTCAAATCAATAAAAATAGCTTCAGGTGAGAATTAAAAAAATAAAATAAAAAGGAAACTTAACCCAAAGGAATGACCGTAAGGGTGGAAATGTGAGTCTCTGGGGGCAGAAGTACCACAGAGAGGCCCCCATTTGTTATCTCCTCTGCCCTTACCGGTGTTTGCTCTTTCCGTTTTCCACTAACAGCACTAGTGCTCAGATTCCCACCAGGAAGTGCACAGGGGCGGCCTCTCTGACCTGGGGGCGGGCTGCTGGCCTGGATGGGCACCAGCCTCCTCTGCTCTCATTGGCTGCTTGGTCAGCGTGGGGAGGGTTTTGGAAACAGGACCATGTCATCCAGGACCCTTTGGTTGCAAGTGACAGAAACCCAACTCAGCCTGACCTAGACAGAGAAGGAATTACTGGCCCTGACAAAGGGGGAAGATAGTGAAACAGCCCTTGGAAGTGAAGGAAGAAGTCCAGGACCAGGGCCTTGGAGATGGCAACTGTGAAGCAAATGCCTCCAGGATCCTACCCATGCTCATCTCCTCTTTACTCTGTTTCTGTTTACCTGTTGGCCTCGTTCTCTCCGACTCCCGATGGGCCTTCTCCATGTGACACAGAACAGCTGCTCCAGTGGAAAGAGAGAGCTGCTGGCTCCCAGAGTGTATATATCAGCCCCAGGGAAGGACTCGGACTGGACCCAGGACGGCTGCCAGGTGGATAGTGCTGTGATTGGCCAGCTGGGATCACATGGCCATTTTTGCAGCCAGCACATGGGCCTGTTACCAGAGGAAGGGACACAAGGAAGCCTCCTGGAAAGATACAAAACCAGCAGTCCTCCATACAAGAGGAGAGTGGAGTAGTTTTAGCTTGAAGAAAAAAACAGAGGGATGTGGATAAATGTCACATACTCTAACATGCTTGAGAGCCCAGGAGTGTTAAAGATTTTAACTCTTCGCTAATAGTTCCAGCCTACTGATCCCACCCAGCCACACATCTCCATTCTAGCTCAGCTCACTACTCCCCACTCAGTGAATAAATATTCAGAGAGGGGATGAATGTGTTTCTCTGTATGGCCCACACACTTCACTGCTTCTGGGACTTGCACTGCCCTGTCACCACCACCACACCTGTTTCTCCTCGTTTTGATCATCTCCATCCCTTAAGGCCCAGTTCGAGTGCCACTTCCTCTAGGAAGCCTGCCCTGATCCCATAGCCAGCAGGGTTTCCTCTGTCTTTATAGACTCTAACCGGACTTCCTGTCGTTTGTATCATGCGTTGGTTCAGCAGAAAGAGCTTCCTAACAGTCCATCCACCACGCAGATGCAGATAGTGAGCTCCCCATCCTGGATCTGTGAAGTAGAGGCCTGTGTGCAGGCCGCGGTAGAAAGGCGAGGAATTCCCTGGGGCCATACATTAGTCTCCCGGGGCTGCTGAGAGAAGTCACCACACATCGGGTAGCTTAAAACAGCAGAAGTTTCTTCTGCCACAGTTCTGGAGACCAAAAGCCCAAAATTAAAATGTCGGCGGTCCGTTACTTCCAGAGGCTCTGCAGGAGGGCGCGTTCAGGGCCCACGCTCAACCCAGGATGGTTTTATCTCAAGATCCCGAACTTGTCACATCCACCAAGACCCTGTTTCCAAAGGCAGCCACACTGTGAGTTTCAGGGAGCACGTGCTTGGGAGACGCTGTCCAACACACCGCAGGGACCCTGTGTAGGACAGATGGGAGACAGACAAGAGTGGCCTCAGTGGAGGCGGAGCCCAGCCCCTGTCAGTGGATCTCATTTTCAAAAGAAGCCACAGGTGTGAATTTTTATGTCGAACATCCAGGTGTTTAAATGTTGGCGACATATTCAAAACACCTTTAAACATCGTGGTCCATACATCAGTCTGTGTATAGACAGTACATTTACAAGCCAGACCGTGGAGTGGGAATTGGTGACCTCTAGTGGAAGCTCCAACTTCCGTGAGCTCAGAAAAGAACAAGGCCTGTGCACTTACTTCCACCAGACGCCACCAGATGGCGCGCCAGTCATTGAGTTCGGCAGGCTTCTTCCACCCATGCTTAGGAGGAGTCTAGGAATTGCAATCCCATAAAAGGGACTTTTCCCAGTCAGAGGTGCTAAGGGGAAACGGAGGGTGTGGGTGGGGTGGGTGCGGCGGGGCCGGGGAGAGGAGTGGTAGTAAGCTAAAGGCCAGAGTTCATTGCATTGAAACTTTCTCTTCCATTATTATCTCAATTTTTGATGCCTGCTACCTCTTGTGTGCTAGTAATAACTGCTGCATTGGCTGACAAAACTGCTTCAAAGGCAGGCAAGATATGCTACAGGAAAAAGAGAGGAACAGCCAGCAGTGTTTGTTTAATAGCTTTACTTTATTCTAAATAAGTTAATTAACTTAAAAAATGGACACCTGCAACGGCAAACAGATTTAGATCAGGAAGATTCCTGTCCCCATCGCCAGCCCTGCCCTCTCTGTGAGTGCACCCTCATTGCCTCACAAGCTCTGAACACAGGGGTGGGGAATATGTTTGGTTGATGCACGTACAGAATACACTTTCCCGCAAGGAAAATTCTGCATTGTTCGCACAACGGGATTACGAGTGTCAATACTGATGATTACTGACATCTGTATATAAATACGGCCCTGATAATGCTTATACTGATTTTTATACAGGATGTATGATAGTATGGGGAGGGGCATTTCCAGGAATTTAATTATACCTAATCACAGTTTGACTTTTCTGTGCAAAGCTTAACAATGTATTTTTGATACGTAATATACTTTTTACTTTTGATTATGGAAAGGCTCAAACACTCACAAAGATGGAGGGAACAGTATAATGAACCTCTCTGCTTCAACAACTAGCTTCTCGAGACCAATCTTGCCTCTCCCTCAATGTATACTTCCTGTTTGTCGGCTGAAATATTTCAAAGCATATGTCAGACCCGGCGGCACATCCAAAGATACTTCTGCAGTACACATTCTCTCACTTTTTGTTCTTTTGTTGTTGTTCTTCTTCACAAGAGAACTCATGGCCACCTGGCCGAGACCAGCCGCCACCCAACCCAGGCCAGTGAGAGCCCCTCTCGATTGCACTGCAGTCTCCACTGTCTTCGGCTCGGGCGTCCGCGTCTTTCTTCATCATTCCCATCAGCAGGTTCACTTTTCTGTTTCCCACTAAATTTTTTTTCTCACGAATTTTTAAAAAATCAGACAATATGGGCAATACTCAATAGTGGAGTCAAAGAAATGCCCACAACTCAGCCAAAGATGGCCACTGCCCAAGCCCCGCTGTTGGCCGACACCCAGAGCCCCTGTGTCCCCATTGCGCAGTGTCTGTGGGCCCGCTGAACCATGAAATGGCTGCACTCTGTGCAGATAAAAGATAGTCTGTGGGTGTTAATGTCAAATGTGCAAGGAAGGGCTGAAGGTCACAGGGCTTCCACCTCTCTCGGTTTGTATTGCCTGCTCTGGACATGCGTGATGACTCCCTGTGGAAAAGGATGTCTTTCAAAGATGGAGGCAACAGCATTTCCCTGTGCACATGCCATCAGGTGACCTCAACACTGCTCCCAGAGAGAGACCAGGCCTGTGCCCTCCTCCTTGAATCTGACGGACCTCTGGCTGGCTCAGGACCACTACAGGGCAACAGAAGTAACACGGCAGACTTCCAACACTGGCCCACTAACACGCGGTGGGGCTTCTGCCTGGTGAGCTTGAACACTTGGGCTTGAAGTCTGAGCTGCTGGGTGAGTGGGCAGGTGCCCTGAAGCCGCCATGCTGTTAGGAAGCTCAACCTGTCCCACCTGAAGAGGTCACTTGGAGAGAGATGCTGACCGTCTCTCAGCTGCGCCAGTCTCTTATGTTCCAATACCAGCCGCCCGCCATCTGCCTATGGCCTCAGGAGACCCCCAGCCAGAGCCCCACCCCCCCCCCCCCGAGCCTGTGCTTCATTTCCTGGCCACGGGAATCAGGAGAGAGAACGCTGACTGTTGTTGCTTTCAGCCAGTAAGTTTGGGGTGATTTGTTACTCAGCAGTAGATAACCATATTGTTGGTTTTGTGATGACTGTCCTAGCATGTTATGTGTGTTACTGTTGTGTTGTTGCTATTTATTATTGACTCCTGTAATTTCAGTTTGGTGGCACCGGAGAGTCTCGGCGGGAGCTGGCAGCCTGTTGTGCTGGGAACCTCTTAGCGCCTGTCAGGAGCTCCTCACTGTTTAAATATTTATTTGTTGTTGACAACCGGAGCCTCTTGTGTGCTGGTGACACCCACCCCCTTGGCAGACCCCCGCCCCCCGCCGTCACTCCCCTGGGGTGGGGAGGAAGGAGCGTCCAGCCTGAAGTGCAGTAAATGGCTCTCTGCGTGTTCTGATGCGGTGACCCCCCCTGAGCACTCTGTGACTTGCACCACAGAGCCCACCGTGAGTGTCTGCTCTTCAGGACGGTCCCGGCCTCTCCTTGAGAGAGGTGGGCGGAGTTTGACACCCTCTCACTCCACCCACTGGTGGGGACTGAGTTAGCTTCTTTGCTGAATGGGGCCAGCAGAGGGGGCTGTGGGGTGTTCCCTGGACAGACCAGGTGACATGCACAGACCCCTTGTCCCCACCCCCCTCCCCGCCCCCGTGTGGAAACTGACCAGCACCCTGTGCTCACAGAGCAGGAGGGGCCCAGTCACAGGCTCTCCATAAAACCACCTCCGTCCCCACACCCGCCTCTCCGGAGAACTCCACCCTCTCTAACCCTGAAACTGGTTCCTTAACTTTCTCCTCGGGCACTGGGGATTAATACCCGACCACATTTCCGTCTTCCTTCTGGCTGCTAGAAAATGCACAGCCGGAGTTGAGGCTCAGGGCGCTCAGGGGGTAGACCCCCCTGGGAGAAGAACAGGAAAATGTCAGTTACAGTTGGTTGTATTGCTCAGAGAGGAGGAGACCGGGTTTTGGGCCCGGCCGCCCAGACTATACACGGAAACGTAGAAGTGGGACTTTATAGCACAGTCTGTGTGCAGCGTGCGTGCTCTGTCGCGTATTGTACGCCTTTCTGAGGGCGGTGGCTCAGTTTCTTGGGAGCCGCAGTTATTCCAAGAATCTCATAACACTTCTTCCTAGAAAAATACCCTTAGTCATACCTACAGATATGGCATTAGGTTCTAGAAATAAACTGTTTATAAATAAACTCGATTCTATGGCTGTAACTCCTGTTTTCATGGCTGCAGAGTGTTGGTTGTGTGACCGTGTTGTAATCTCCGTACCAGCCTCCTGGGGCTGGACATTGGGTGGCTTTTAGTGGTCCACCGTTCTAAATGATGCTACACCTTTCTGCAGCAAAATCCTTATGAGCATCTTGTCCTCGTCTGGATCTGTGCTGGTTGGACCATGCAAGGCCCTGTGGCTGGAACACGGCAGGGCAATGTTTTAAAAAAGAGAAATAGAATTGCTTCCACTGTGGCCTTGGGGTGCATGCAGCCCAGGGCCTCCTGGCTCAGTCCCGTCCAGGGCTCGGTGCTGGCCGGCAGAGGGGAGGTGCTGGGTGCATTTCCAGGCCTCAAAGCCTCAGGGTGTCAAGGCCACCTGTGGTACAGGCCGTGAGGGCCCTGGCTGTGCTGCCCAAGCAGCAGTGATTTATGTCACGGCTGAGGAAGAACA